TGGCTCCACATCCCACTCCTCCATTCACCTGCCTAAGGTGCTGCACCTTCTTGGGCCAGTGACATCCTAGCTGGGGATGATGGTGCCATTTGGAGGCCAGGGAAGGAGGGAAAAGGGAGGTGGGCAAGGAAATATTCCCCCCCCATATGATGATGATGATGACGATGATGATGATTTCTTCTTACCTGCTTCTCCCCATGGATCGAGGCAGGGGACAGCAACAATGAACAAACATCAGTTAAAACACATTGGTTAAAACACACACATCAGTTTAAAAGGACAAACAAGATGTCCTCATATTAAAACCATCCACATCTAAAATTCAGCATTGAAAATTCACAATTTAAATCCACCACCCCCAACCTCCAAATACTCCTCTTCCCATTTCTGGGTAGAAACAGACTGGAGAGTGAGGCATGGAAAACAGGGACCCCCAACAACAACAAAGCATGGTTTGGTATTGTAGAGGGACTAAGGATTTTTTTTGGGGGGAGGAAAATTTGGGGGCCCACATTGTGTCACTCCTTAATGGTTGTGCCCAGAAAATAGTCCCCAAGGGATCTCTGGTTTTGGACTGGTCAAGGGGGAGAAAAGCCATGGTCCCAAATTTGGGTCTGTACCCCTTTTTCCCTGTTGAGAAGTGTACCCCAATCAAGTTGCATTGGAGGAAATGGCAGATTGTTGGAGGAATTGCACATTCTTCCTTCTCAGAAATTTCTTTTTTTCTCCCCACTCAAGTGACAAATGACCCAGTTATGTAACCTTCATTTAGCAAGCTCAGAAAGTGTGTGTGTGAGTGTGTTTTTGGGATGAGATCTATGGAGATTGGTATGTGTGTGTGTGTGTGTGTGTGTGTGTGTTGGAGTTATCAAGAAAAGATAAAAAGGAGGTGGAAGGGCAAGGAGAAATAAATGTGGCAGCACCTTTAAAACCAACTGGTTTTTTTTTTTTAATTTTTGCATGAGGTTTCATGGATATAACTCACTTCTTCGGTGGTAAAAAAGCCTCAGGATATATAATAGGATCTATAAAGGTGCAAATTATGACTCTTGTCCTAAATTTTCAAAGGGCTGGATGAGGCGATACAGGTCTTTTGGGTCTTTGCAGTGGTCAATTAGTGTTGACATGTGAAAGCAATAAATTGGCTTACCAAAAGTCAATTTCCTTGGGTGCAAAGCTGCTGGACATGTAAACAAAAGGAATATTTTCAGAGAATGTTTGAAGAACCCCTGGGGAAACGGCCTTTTGGTAAGCAGATTTATTGCTTTCACACATCAACTGACCACAGCAAACACCGTGCAAGACCTGTATCACCTTCTGAACCCCTTTTAAATTTTAGGGCAAGATTTGTGTTTTTCTGGACCCTTTTTTTACATGCCTTCTCACTTCCACAACTGTATAGTTATCCTTTATAAAATCATAGACTCCAAGAGTTAGAAGAGACCCCAAGGGTCATCCAGTCTAACCCATTCCGTGCAGGAAAACACAATCAAAACCCTCCCGGCAGATGACTATTCAACCTCTGCTTAAAGACCTCCAAAGAAGGAGACTCCACCATATGCCCAGGCATTGTCTTCCACCGTCAAACAGCTCTTTCTGTCAGGAAGTTCTTCCTAACGTTTAGACAGAATCTCTTTTCCTATAGCTTCCATCCATTGCTCTGTGTCCTGTTCTCTGGAGCAACAGAAAACAAGCTTGCTCCATCCTTAACGTGTCATCCCTTAAAATATTTAAACAGGGCTCTCATACCACCTCTTAGCCCTCTCTTCTTTAGGCTAAACATATCCAGATCCTTAAGTCTCTCCTCAGGGATTCATGGTTTCCAGACCTTCCACCATTTTGGTTACCTTCCTCTGGACACACTCCAGCTTCTCAACATCCTTTTCGAATTGTGGGGCCCAGAACTAGACCCAGGAGTCCATGTGAGATCTAACCAGAGCAGAATAGAGTGGCACTATTACTTCCTTCGATCTAGATACTATACTCTTATTGATGCTGCCTAGAAAACATTCAGGAGAAGCTGTGTTGGCCATTTAGCAAATCCAAACAAAAATCCATCAGTGATACCTTTATTGGCCAACCAAAATACACAATATCCTTGTTGCAAGCTTTCGAAACTCCATGGGCTTCTTCATCAGGCAAGATGTTACAAATCAATTAGGAGAAAAAGCAATTGGAGATGTTAGTCAGATGCCTACATGTTGTTGCAGTCTTTAGTTAAGATGGTAGTATATGGTGGGGAGGATATCTTTTGCAGGCAGGATCTTCCTCTTTCTGGCCATGTGGCAACTTCAACCAAGGTAAAACAATTTTTTTCTTCTTAAATTTGGACTGAATTCGCATGTTGTACCTCTGCATCCACCAAATTATTCCTGATGAAAACACATGGAGACTTCTTGAGGAATCCATTGTTCTCTGCCACAAAGAGGTCTGTGGCCTCCCAGGAATGGAGACAGATTGGATTGCAAAAGAGGAGTCCCTGTTGAGATGCAAATGGATTTTAAATTTCCTGGATTTTGCAAATCTCCCTTTAGCCACAGGGCCAAAAGGAGGAGGATCCTGCCTGCAAAAGATATCCTTCCTACCATATACTACCATCTTAACTAAAGACTGAAACAACATGTAGGCATCTGACTAATATCTCCAATTGCTTTTTCTCCTTTTGGTTTGTAACATCTTGCCTGATGAAGAAGAAGAAGCCCATGGAGCTTTGAAAGCTTGCAACAAGGATATTGTGCATTTTGATTGGCCAATAAAGGTATTACTGATGTGGCCTAGAATTGCATTGGCCTTTTTAGCAGCTGCATCACACTGTGGACACTTCAGCTTCTGGTCCACTAAGGGCCTTTACAGACTGCCAGAAATAGTGCAAACTGAGGCTACTTTAACTGTCCTGGCTCAGTGCTAGAGAATCATAGGAATTGTATTTTTTTTCTGGGATATTGAGCCTTCTCTGCCAGAGAGCTCTGGTGCCAC